TGCTTCCAACTTGAGCGGAACTTTCTCATCAAAACTAAAAAATGCATCCCACACAACCCTAACATCCGCTTGCATCTTGAGCTCAAGCTTGGTGAACTGAAGCTTCCCTCCGTTGCCAATTGAAGGTGAACGATACTCGAGCTTCACAATCTTTCGATTATCTCTGTAAGGTAGAAGATCATGGATTTCGTCTTTGACATCTTTAAGAGGGTGAAGTCGTTGAGCTTAATTTTTCGCTCGGGTGTAGAGCCAGAGAAAGACACATTTGGACTTACCAATAGATTTTTATTTGTGACATTTGAGACATTTTGAGTTTGTGTGAAATATAGCTCTAGAGCACCTTATATAAGACAAAGATTAATTTGGATCACTCATCAACTGACATATTGATTTCAGAAATATATCTCCAGAACTGCACCCTATTATCTTGTTCCGGAGATGCATATCCGAAACTTCTCCTGAACCATTTTCAAAACAGAACACAAACATAACCTATTTTTTTTTCCATTGAACAAAAACACAAACATTGTTATGGGGTAGATAAAAAATGCATAAAGATAAAATTTGAATAAAATGTGAATATATAACACTTTATTCATATAGAGACACAATTACATATGATTATTTGTTCGGTTAAATAAGAAATTAAAATGGATCGAACATGTATCGTCGACTAAATCTATAGGTGGTACCTCTTTGGACTTTTGTGCATTCGATTCTTTTTCAATATTGTTCAATCTCTCGAATTCTTACATCTTTTGCATAAAATAATCTGGCCACGTCTCGACTTTTATGGTTGAATTAGACGTCCACTTCGGTGATGTGAGTGGTATGGGGCATCCCGATTTCAAGTAAAGTTGAAGAAAATGACTTGATTTTGAAATCCATCCAATACACATGATACAATCATTTGGTTTTTGGGGTGGGGCGATACGAAATAGGAAAAAGGTTTCTGAAAAACCGTAGCGTGTCAGGTCAATACACACTCTATCATATGCACATGCTATTAGGTGTCCCATTTCTAGGAAGCTCATCCATTTTGACTCCGGTGTCAGACCACTCAAGCAAGGGACAAGATACTTATAAACCGCGTTGAATTTTTCTTTATTTTTGTACAACGGCGTGTACGATTCTTTATTCGTCTTCAACTCTTGGATAAGTTGATGTTGTACATGTGCATGACTATCTTCTCCTTTACCAAGTGAAAGCCGAAATGACTTGGTAACCGCAATTATCGTCTCCCACAACATTGACGACCCGCTCGATATATTTGTGCATAAAAGCCGATATCTCCTTTCACAATATTTTTTTGATATTTTGGAGTCGGTGAGTCAGGAAAAACTTTGTCAACGTGTTCAAAATATGAAGGAGACCGTGTAGTCGAGTTGTCATTTGGTGTGGGCTTTATTTTCTTCGAAGAACCTTTTGTTTTTATTGATTGAGAAAGCAGTTTCATGTTTGTGGTTTTGGGATAGGAAATCTTCCTCAATTGCTCTTTGATATGGAGTTTCATGACGTCATTGAACTTCAAAAATCTCTCTTGTATCATTTCCCATTCGGTTAAAATAGAGATATTCGATTTCCCGTCATCCATGCATCCATCACCATCGAACCTAAGTCTCGACCAATGAGAGAAAACCTCGCCCATTGTTATTAGTTCACCAAGTTTCACCTTTTTAGAAATAGTACAAGCACATGGAAGACCATATGTTTTCACAATAGTGAAACCACATTTTGCGACCAACTGAAAATATATAGTGTTGTCTTTAAATCTATGTTCCAAAACGGTGATGCTCATACCAAATGTTGTTTGTATCTCATTACGCTGGTTTTGAATCATGTGGTTCGCGGAGTCCCAGTCTCTACACAAATCCTTTTACTATTTCCCAACCAATTTTTCAAAGTAGCATGTGCCGACTTAACTCTGTTATTAGTTGCATTTCCAAGGTGTCTAACATTATCAGTCCACACACAAACTATATTCTCCTTCACTTGGTCAGAAATTGTGGTTTCAACATACTTCAGCAAATCTGGATACTTTTCAGACTCTTTCCAAAAATGAATAACTGAATCGACATATAGTTCTTTTATGGAAGAATTTATTATACGATTCCATGCATCCATAATTTTTTCCACAACCACACCCGCCTTCACCAATTTTCCACCTTCGAACTCTATTTTTTTCGTCCCTACCGCGCTTTTAACATGGCTTCTCACATTCTTTGTTATGTGATACTTACAAAGTAATGCATTAGAAGAAGGAAACACCTTTGCAACCGAATTCATCAATGCGGTATCACAGTGGGTAACAATCTCTTTAGGAATGTCACCTTGGACCTTCAAAAGTGATTGACACACCTCTAATATCCAAGTAAAATTGTTCTTTTTTTCACACTCAAGAAACGCAAAACCAACAGAACATGTCTTCTCAATTAAGGTAACACCAACCATCTCAAATAAGGGAAGTCTATACTTGTTGGTCTTGTAGGTTGAATCAAGTATAAGCATGATAGGAAACGTGCTGAAAAACTTTATGGAATCAGGATGAGTCCAAAACATATCTCTAACTGTAACTCCATCATCGCATGTTCGGTATCGGGACACGTAACCGTTATCATCTAACAGTTTCAAGAGTTGTTGCATCACAATTCTATCTCTCATAATCGCCTTGTTAGTGAGGTACCAAATGTTATACACTTGCTTGAATATTGTCGGGTCGCTTCCGTTTCAATGTTGCAAGAATATTTTTTGGTTGAACAAGATTCAAGGTCATGTCACTAATATATTCCTTCTCTTTCGGCTTGAGCCGACAAACACTAGGATGACCGACTATTTTTAAACATAAATCATGGTTATGCAAATCACATATCATATTAAATCTCCAATTTTTGTTTGCCAACATGTAACCACGAACCTTAAACGAACACTCATATTTTCTACTACACGTGTCGTCTCTTTTAAAATTCCGGAGAGGAGTTTGATATTTCCCGCTTCTCTCGCACACCATTGTCACAAATGCGCATCTTCTATCCAAACCATTATCGAACCTTCCGATAACCACACCAAATCCTAATTTAGAGACCTCTATATGAATCCATTCAAACATTTGATCACGAGATTCAAACTCTTGCTTGTTTTTAAAGTCGTTGCCAACATCTAACGCCTTCACAACAACCCCTTGAACATTCAGAGAAATAAGGTTCAGAGAAACAACTTGTTTTGGGAAAACATCAGGGTGCACCATATCTATTAAAAACAATACAAACAATAACACACATTAGTTTAAGTACTGCTGCATAATGACTATAAAAATAAACACAAACTCTTTCCGGAAATGCATCTCTGGACGAGTTCATACACATTCCAGAGATACAATTTTGGAAACAACGTAAGTTTTTCTGAAAAAGTTGATGGTTAATATGAACAATGTAGAGGGAAAAGAACAATCTTTACCTGAAATTCTATCTTCTTTTGCTCCGTGTGATATGTTGAAACAAAAGGATGGAGATTTGGAGTGAAAAAATGGATTGAGAATGAATGATTTTTAGGGCGAAAGTTTAGTTGAGAATGAAGTATGACAACAATGGAGGACTGATCATGCTGGAAGCTATATCAAATATTTTTAGAGATGTATCTCTGAAAATACCTGACATGCAAAGGTGATAGGAAATTTTAAAATGCCGCATATAATTTCGAAAACACATCTCCGAAATATCTATTGAACTGAACCATTAAAATGTTTTTCATAAAACGTTCTGGAGATATATCTCCGGAATATTTACTAAACTGAATATTTGAAATGTTTTTTTAAAAACGTTCGAAAGATATATTTTAGAAATAAAACTAACCCAATATATAAGACGTAACTCAGAATAACCTTGATTGAGTTTGAAAAAGATGTGCCTACAAATATGATTTACATTGCGCGCGTAAGAAATAAATAAGTTGTAATAAGAAATTCTCCTTCATGACATAGGTAGAGAAACCAATTGAAGGGCTCATAGAGTAGTCCAACAAACTATTTCGTGATAATAGTATGGTTTGATGCAAAAATGAAAATCAATCTAATAACAATTGTATGGATATTATTCAAAAATAATTAAATCTTGTTTTAATTAAAATATTACTAACTTAATTTAGCTCCAAATTTATACACCTAACATATACTATTTATTTTGAATCAACACCTAATGTATCCAATTTTACTAATTATTATTTACATATAAACTAAAATCTTCCTTCTTTTTATTACTTTTTCTAACTTACCCTTTTTTAGTTTTTTTTCTTCTCAACTTCACCTTTGTTATGTTTTCCTTTTAACATGATCCATTTTCAACATCATAATCTAACCATTTACCTAACACAAAATATCATTAACCGATGTTAATTTGTTGATAACCACATAATTACTTTTTTTAATCTCTTAAGGTTGCGTTTAAACACAATTATTCATTTTGTTCAATGAAAGCGACATGCATAAACGCTAATAGAAACCGTTGCCATAAAACAACATCATAACACAATGGTTCTTTTCAGTTCTTTCAAATTAAGGTACAATGAACATTTACTTGATCATGTCCCTATAAATGTAAAATTTCATATATATATATTTTTTGGAGAAAGAATTCTCTTTCATATTCATGATCATGAAATAGAGTGATTTTGTTAATTTTCTTCAATTTTTTTATATGTTAATCTATGTTGGATTTTAAGGTATTTTACTTCTTTATCATTTTTTGATTATGCATAGTTAGATTTTATTGGATACTTCATAGTTTTCTGACGTTGTTGTTGCGTGCAGAGAATACTTGATTTATTTAGCTTGTCTTGTATGATTTGATCTAACATGGTGCATGTATGTAGGTTTAATGGTTTCTGATGAATTTTAGGGATTTGTTGTGATGTGTTTATAGGTATGGACTAGAAATTGGTCTTGTGTTTTGTTGTAGAGATGATGGAAGATGATGATAATGAAAAGGTTTTGATTGCGATATCGGAGTATGGTAATGGAGAAAAGTATATTTAGAAAGATTTTTAGTATGATTTTGGTGAAAGAGGAGAAAAGTATGAAGCCTATTCTACTCAAATGTGGTTTGGCTTTTGCTCTTACCTTTGCGGGTTTTATCTATTCGAGTTTTAGAACTAGACGGATCAAGTCTTCCCCTAAAGACCACCACCCTTCAGGTTTGTTTCTTTTCTAAGTTATCTTGGAAGTTTATTATGAAAGTAAGCTGAAAACAACTTATGAACATATCATAAGCTGTTTTTATAAGCTCGATTGAGCCAAATTTGAATGAGTCGCGTGTGATATTTTGTATGTATGATGTTTTTTTCAGGTCATGGGAGTGACGTTAGTTGCCGAGGTATTAGAGCATCGTCGAGTTCTTGCAATATTCATTCAGAAGGAAGCAATTTCGACGCGGTAAGTTACTTGAGAAAAGAGTATCCTTATGATTGTTTTTGTATAAGCTATCTTGAAGGGCTTAAGGAAATAAGCTGAAAACTGCTTATAGACACGTCATAAGGTGTTTTTATAAGCTGAAAACAACTTATAGTATTTTTGGATTTGTTATTTATCAGGACGAAAAAGGCATCAACAAGGTTGTATGTAGAAGTTCTTCAACCGGCGTCTCTCCAAGAACTAAACATAATGGAGAGAAAGGCGAGTTTCTCGTCCCCGAACTCCCTGATTCTTCTGCGGCGGGATATTCAAGTCATGAGAAAGATGCTTATGAGCAAGAAATCAGAAAACTGAGGAACAAGATCATAATGCTTCAAGAGAGGGAAAGAACTCTCGAGGTTCAACTTCTTGATTACTGTGGTCTAAGGGAGCAAGAAACAGCTGTAATGGAGCTTCAAAACCGATTGAAAATAAGCAACATGGAGTCGAAAATGTTTAATCTAAAAGTCGAGACGTTACAGTCCGAGAATAAGAGATTAGAGTTACAGGTTGCAGGTCATGCGAAATTGCTTGCTGAACTCGAGGCTTCAAAAACAAAAGTGAAATTTTTGAAGAAGAAAATTAGGCATGAAGCTGAACAGAATAAGGAGCATATCGTAGAGCTTAAACAAAAAGTTACAAAGTTGCAGGAGCTTGAATCCAAAGCTGTTGCTAATGATCAAGAAATTCAAATGAAGCTGGAAAAGCTAAATGGTCTTGAGGTTGAAGCAGAAAAGTGGAGGAAATCTAGTTTGAGATTACAAAAGGAAAATTCTGACTTAGCTAGAAGATTGGAGTCTACTCAGATCCTTGCGAATGCCGTTCTTGAAGATCCAGAAGTAAGTTTGTGTTTGGTTTTACAGAGAAGAAAATGAATTCTAGTTAAATATGAGCTTAAGATGAAATGATTTATGTTTGCATACATTCACAAGAAAATGAGTTGAACAATAAATTTGAGTGAAAAAATCATGTTTGAAGTCAAAAGTTACAAATCTTAGCTTAAAGTTAAAATCAATTTTAGATGCAAAATTAATTCTATATCCTGTTTTGTTTTTGCGGTGGGTGATTCAAATGCACATGAAATGCGAAACTACAGTTTGTAGCTTCTAATAAAGCACGGAAACTTGCATCTGGAAGCAGTGTAGAATTGTATCAAAACACAGGCCTAATCAATAATCTACAAATATATCAAAATCAATTTTAAGTCTTCAGAATCACTTCTAAGTATCCCAAAAATGAAAAATAAAACGCGAAGTAAATAGATTCAAATCAGTAATATCCAAATATACCCCACACAATTTTAAGTTTTCAGAATCACTTTTGAGTCTCCCAAAAATGAATTTGAACCTGCAAGAAATAGATTATAATGATCAGTCTAATCACTTTTCATCTTCTTTTCCTGGATGCAGGCAGATGCTCTAAGGGAAGAAAGTGACCGTCTGAGGCGAGAGAGCGAAGAATTGACGAAAGAAATGGTGCAACTAAAAGCTGATAGATGCACAGATGTTGAAGAATTAGTTTATTTAAGGTGGCTAAATGCTTGCTTAAGACATGAATTAAGAAACTATCAACCTCCACCTGGTAAAACAGTTGCAAGGGACTTAAGTAAGAGCTTAAGTCCAGCTTCTGAGAAGAAAGCTAAACAGCTTATACTTGAATATGCAAATGCTGAAGGAAGAATTAGCATTTCTGATTTGGATTCTGATCAATGGTCCTCTTCACAAGCTTCTTACGGTGAGTGTGAAGAGTTTTCTTCTCACGATAATTTATCCAATCCACGAGTCAGCAACGCCACAAACAAGTCAAAGATCTTCGGAAAACTTATGAAGCTAATGAGAGGAAAGGATAGCAGCAGTAATCTCAGTAGTAGACGTACGTCTTTAGAAAAATCTAGATCAATAGGATGTAATCTTGATATTGGAGCTGATGGTCTTAGGAGTGAGTGCGAATCTCTTATCGGCACGTCTCAAAGTTCTATGGATTTAGAACGAACGTTGAGTTTGAAGGAAGAGACTAGGAGAAATTCATCTGCTGAAAGATCAAAGAGTTTATGTCCGAGGAAAAGCGGTTCAGGAGATTTGAAAATGATCGGTGACTCTTTCTCAGAATCTTATAGCACAGTGAAATCTAATTTGATCAAATATGCTGAAGCTTTAAAAGATTCTAGTACTAGTGAAACTCCGAAACGCGAAATACGTAGAAGATCAGCATCATATAGTTCATTTTAACTTAATATCTAGCAACATAGAATAATGAGTATGTACTACGTTTATCCACTATGAATATTGAAATGTATAAAACATAAGGATGTATTGAAATCAGTTGTAAGCATTCATCAATAAAATTCAGTTCTGAGTTTTGTAATACTTAATCGGATGCAAAACGCATCATGAGGTTCTTAAGTTACATTACGTGAACATAATTACCTGTTTTCACACTTTATGTTATGTTACTGACGTGGCAGGTGCATTGTTTGCGATAATTTGGTACAAATATTGCGCGAGAGAGAAGAGAAATAGGCTGTGCAGTCCCAGAGGTATTTGTCGCTGAATATACAAAAGATATTACGATGCATTCATAAATAATAAGCAGAAACTTGTGTTTTATATTATGTTTTACGAACTGCGTAATCTGAAATTTGTGACATATAAGATACATAGGATAACGATTCTTGTGACATAATTAATCCTGAAAAACAGAAAACTTTTGAACAATCATGTCATGAGTCCTTATGTGATGAGAGATATGCCTTGTAATAGTAAAGAATCCGCCAGAACTTGATTAGCGGCTTCTGTAGGATGAACACTGTCCCAAAACACATACTGAGTTGCATTAGAACAAGTTCCGAGTGATTTTGAATTGCACAATACTGATGTTAACTCTATCGTTCCTGTACCACAGCAACCTCTCCCTGCCTCAGCAAAACCTATATAGAACATCATAAGAAAGGTTAATTTTTTTAAGAACATCATTATATGTTTGCATTTGTTTTAGTCAAAGTGTTGCGTACCGAATTTTTAAGGGTTTTGAACAAGGTTGTAGAGAGGCTTGTAAATATCAAAAATCACAATCTTAAGACCAGGAAGTTGCTTTTGTAGATTTGATGCAGCTGAGTTAATTTTCTTGTTAAATCCTTGTGCATCAGTGTTGATTCTTGTGACACAACCATTTTCATGGTGACCAAATAAAGTCCTTGTAGCTGGTAGGCACCCCAATGGTGGAAGTGAATTCACTCCAATTTTCCTAGCTCTTAATCCATACAAACCCTGTGTGCCAACAAAGAACCATATTAGGGTCTATTCATAGGTAAACCCGAGTTCGAATCCAAAACATATTATGGCCTCTTTTCGAGAGCTTCTGACATGTTCATAAGTTGTTTTCAACTTTTCTTAAGGTTTCTTAGATAGCTTATGAAATAGTAACATATACCTTAATGAAGATGTTGAATGAGGCTAGTAGGTAAGATGAATACTGATCAACAGTGATTGCTTTGTTGATCAAAGGATTAACATAATAATTTAGTTCAAAATCACTTCTTCCAGCACTCAATAAGTACAATGAACCTTTGATAATTGATGCAGTTTTTTTACTTCCAACAACCTTTGCCAACTTGCCTTGATATTCCTTGAAATAACTTAACTGTTGGGACAATGGAAGTGCATGCTGCCAATAGAAGGAAAAGAAAAACAAGTTCAGAACAAATAGAAATAAGTCGACGAGCATGGAACTTAGCATTTCTGACGAGCATGGAACAGTCGGAAAACATTGGTCGGAAACTTTTTTCAGCAGAATTTACCCCTAGAAAACATAAAAGGACAAGACCAAACCGAAATCTACACATAATCCAAGTTCGATGCAATATTTACCAGTAATATCAGTAACTAATTTGCCATTACAAAACCTTCCAGTAGCCTGTTTATTAACAAAATCTTTCCCCTACATCCACAGCAGAATCACCAAATGTGATGATAGCTGGTACAATAGTATCTTGTGCATAGCCAAAAGTTAAGAACAAGAAAGATGCAAAGAGTACAACAAGTGTTTCTTTGATATTCATGTTCATACTTTTTTCTGCTTTTGGAGACTCGAGTTTCTTCTGTTTATATATGGAAACCGAAAATGGCGCCGTATTGAAGAAGGATGGTGGAAGTTACTCAAGTTAGGCATAGCTATTAAATGAGAACGTACTGAGTAATTACCTATGCTTATAACACTTCGAAAAAAATGGTAGTTGTCTCCTTTAAGCGACATTATTATCTTACAACTATTATTGAAAAAACTTAAACTACGAGATCTATAGGATGTAGCCGTAACACTTCTCCACTTGATGTTGTAACGGTCAGTCTTAGGAGTGAGTACAAATCTCTTAATGGTACGTCTCGAAATTCTATTTATTTAGAACGAACATTGAGTTTGAAGGACGAGTTGAAAAGTGGTTCCGGAGAGTTGAAAATTACCAGTCACTCTTTCTCAGAATCTTATAGCAAAGTGAAATCTAATTCGATCAAATTCACAAAGCTTTAAAAGATTCTAGTACTACCAAAACTCCCAAACATGATATACGTAGAAGATCGGCATGGTATAGTTCATTTTAACTTAATATCTAGCAACATAGAACAATGAATTTTGTAATACATAATCGGATATTAAGTATTACAAAACTCATTGTTCTATGTATCCAGTAGGCAATTCTGATATACCATATAGCAGCATGTAATAAATAAGGATGTATTGGAATCAGTTGTAAGCATTCATCAATATAATTCGGTTCTGAGTTTTGTAATACTTAATCGGATGCAAAATGCATTGTGTGGTCCATAAGTTATTTAATTGTATTTGATAAATCCATGGTTTATTTTTGTCCCACATAGGTTATTTAAGTTACATTACGCGAACAAAGTAACCTATTTTCACACATTCGGTTATGTTACTGACGTGGCAGGTGCGTGGTTTGCCACAATATGGGACAAATGTTGCGCGAGGGAGAAGACAAATCAGCTGTGCAGTCCAAGTGGTATTTGTCGTTCAACATACGAAAGATTTTACAAAGGTTTATAAATAATAAGCAGAAACTTGTGTATTATAATATGTTTTACAAACAACTCAATCTGAAATTCGCAACATATAAGATACATAGAATAGAGATTCTTGTAGCATAATCCTGAAAAACAGGACGACTTTAATTATAGTGTATAGTTGTACTTGTTGTACACAATAATATTTAGCTTAGACAAACAATCACGTCACGAGTCCTTCCTTATGTGATGAGAGATATGCCTTGTACGAGTAAAGAATCAGCCAGAACTTGATTAGCAGCTTCTGAAGGATGAACACTGTCCCAAAACACATACTGAGTTGCATTAGAACAAGTTCCTGGTGACTTTGTATTGCACAATAGTGATGTTAATTCGATCGTTCCTGTACCACAGCATCCTCTCCCCGCCTCAGCGAAACCTATATAGAACATCATAAGAAAGGTTAGAGAAATTTGAAGATTCTATATGTTGAATGTGTTTTGGTGAAAAGTGTTGCGTACCGAAATTTGAGGGGTTTTGAACAAGGTCGTAGAGAGGCTTGTAAATATCAAAAATCACAACCTTAAGACCAGGATGTTGCTTTTGAAGATTTGATGCAGCTGAGTTAAGTTTCTTGTTAAATCCTTGTGCATCAGTGTTGATTCTTGAGACACAACCATTCTCATGGTGACCAAATAAAGTCCTTGCAGCTGGTAGACACCCCAATGGTGGAAGTGAAGTCACTCCAATTTTCCTTGCTCCTAGTCCATACAAACCCTGCACGCCAACAAAAAAACCACTATTAATGTCTATTAACCGGAAAAACGAAGTTCCAATCCCAAGTGATAAGCACTTATATGATAAAGTACCTTAATGAAGGTGTTGAATGAGTCTAGTAGGTAAGAAGAATACTGATCAACAGTGACTACTTTGTTGATCCAAGGATTAACATAATAGTTTTGTACAAAGTCACTGCTTCCAGCGCTCAATAAGTACAACGAACCCTTGATGATTGATGCAGCTTTTTTACTGCCAGCAACCTGAGCTAACTTGCCTTGATATTCCTTGAAATAACTTAACTGTTGGGACAATGGAAGTGCATGCTGCAAATAGGAAGAAAAGGAAAACAAGTTCAAAGCAAAACATCTTTATTCCAAACAGAAGTAAGTTCGATGATTATTATTATTATTATTATAAACTTACATTCAAGATAGCAGCCTTTTCATCATAACCAGATGCAGCTGAAGCAAAGTTTACTCCGGTAAGGAGGTTCTTCCCTGTTGCCTGTGGACTGAGATAGGCCGGTGCAAAATTCTTAAAACCAAGTGTTTCAGCTGCAAAAAAAACACACTCAAACTTCAATGCAACTTAAATGCATGAGTATATGTGCAACACTTCAATCCAAGTTTTCGACATAAATAATATCTCAAACCCCTCCAACCAAATCTCAGCCGTTAAATGTGTAAATATATTTTTTTGGAAATTCATTATCTGTTCCTAGGACTGTAATTCGGAGATCGATCCCACCATCCACTATTGGGGGCCTAATTAAAGAGAGTTTTTGTATGGACTGACCGAACACAAGAGTTATTAGCACCTGAAAGATTCAAATATGAAATCTTAAGAGGAGCACACTCTCAGGTCTCAAGCCTTCACTCTCAGGTATCAGGCCTTAAGATTTATCCAACAGTTTAACCTATAAGAAAAATCTACTATAGAGTTCTGCAGGATTGAACTTCTCCATCCCTTTAAATAAATATCAATCATTAGATTAATCTAACAGACACAAGTAGCGATCTATTGACCGTTAGTTTAATCCAACATTGAGATTTCATTGGTACAAAAACAAGCTGTCTCCGGGGGTTAAAAGCCCTCGGAAACATAGCATTTCCAATTAGCCTGGAACAGTTTGGAAACTATTTTCAGCAGACTTTACCCCTAGAAAACATAAAGCACAAAACTAAACCTAAAACTACACATAATCTAAGTTTGATGCAAAATTTACCTGTAATATCAGTAGCTAATTTTCCATTACAAAACCTTCCAGTAGCCTGTTTATTAACAAAATCTCTCCCATAAGGAGGGTAGTTAGCCTTAAAAATAGTAGGAAGATAATCATTGTTCCCTACATCCACAGCAGAATCACCAAATGTGATGATAGCTGGTACAATAGTATCTTGTGCATAGCCACAAGATAGGAACAAGAAAGATGCAAAGAGTACAACAAGTGTTTCTTTGGCATTCATTTTCACCATTTTTCTGCTTTTAGAGACCTAAAACTTTCTTCTGCTTATATATGGATCCGAAAATGGTACCGTATTGAAGACGGATGGTGGAAGTTACTCAAGTTAGGCATAACCATTAATGAGAACGTGCTGAGTAGTTACATATGCTTATAACACTTCTGAAAATTTTTGGTAGTTGTCTCCTTTAAATGACATTATTATCATCAGTACTCAATTTACAACTGTTTCGAGAAAATTTAAACTACGATACCTGATCTTGCATGTTATACTCTTATCACGGAACTGACATCTTGCGACAAAGTCGCATCAGTATGAAAAAATGTACCTAACAGTAACACAACCAACTCTTGTCTTAAGCAAATTCAATAAATCTTTGTCTATATGTATATACTTTTTATATTTTAGTTAGTGAATTATCCTCATGTAATAGCAGTGTTGGTTATGACTTTTTCTTTCATTTATTATAGTGAAGATAGGTGGTTGAAATTGTGTGTCCAGGGTTTGTTATATGAGTACTAGTGAGTAGCGATGGAGGAGCATGTGCATGAGTTATTGCGGTTGTTGCACAGAAAAGTCCTGTAACCTACTTGTTCATGTTTGTGTGATGGAATAAGTTAAGATAAAGAGATTGTGTTAAAAATTTGTCTAGTTCACTCGTTCGACATGTTTTTAATCGGATGTTTTGAAGTTTGGACAAAACCGTACGGTTCGGTTAGATTTGCTGGTTGTATTTTTCATACCGAATCCAATCAAATCTAACCGTATTATGTCATAATCTAAACTTCACTTATTCTACATTCATTGCAAAATTCAAACCTATTATGTCTTAGTCTTATGATATTTGACAGCTTTAAACAACGGCGCCAAAAGTTAACAGTAACTTCAATTAATGTAATGAATAATTGAAAGTAATATTGAGGAAAAATACTAAATGTTAAATGTTGAAGATTAGATTATATTTGATTTTACCAAGTCAGAAAAGGATCAGCAGTCAGTAACACATCGTGAGTTCTTTAATTTGTCGGTGGTGGAGAAGAGGAGGAGGTGTACCTGCAAAGTACTCCAATGTTAAAGTAAGAGACAGAGTAGAAAGAACAAGAACATAAAATGTGTAGAAAGAATAGAATACCTGAACCTTCTAGTGAAAAAGGGTATTTATAATGTACCCCCAGCACGTGGTCTTCTCCCTGGGTCAACTGTTCCGTGATCTTCAGAAAGTGGATAGTTGCTTGATGACGTTTCCCCGCGTGGGGAGCACGTGGAGACCGTGGGGAGACCTCTGAGAGCTCCCCGTGTGCGTTGATGGATTGAGCCTTCATTGGACCCTCCCCGACGAGGGGCTGGGTTGGACTGTGCCCGACGATGGACCAGCCTCTGACCCAGTCCTGAACAGGGGCCCCCTAAGTCGTTGCTCCACAACAGAGGAGTAATGACTTAAGAGTCAGTTCAAATCTCGAGGACCAGTGTGGGGGCGTGTTGTGCGTGTCCGAAACACTGAGCTCGGAGACGAAGCGCATGGCCAAGAGTAGGAACTGCTCGACAAGACAGGAGCTCGCGGGGAGGCCTGCCCTTCATGTGTGATCTTGGCTCTTTCCCTGTTTCCTCGAGGATATGTCCCCGACGGGTGATGTGGCCGACGATGTGGCGAGAGCGAAAGGGAACGAGCATGTCTGGTCTCGAGCAGGAGAGGGAGTTGAAATGACACGCGTGGTATCTTCTAGGGCCACGTGTCAAGAGTAATAAATGCCTAGGGCGACTACGAGTAGGGATACTTGAGTGTCTAGCGACAACTCGCTTCCCGTGCTAGGGTTATAAATAGGGGGGAAGTCTGCTTCATTTGTACGCTCCCCTTCATTTCACTCAAGAATTTTCCCCAGGTCTCTCAAAGCTCTCTCTGCTCTCCAAAGTACGTCCGCCGTCGCAGCCTCTGTCAGCCTCCCTCTGTCATCCAAAATCCTCTTCTTTCAAGTAAGTCTCTGGCCTTTTCTCCAGATTTTACGAACTTTCCGGCGGAATGTATGAAGTTTTCTGCGACTTTCATGAAGTTTTCGACGCTCCTATGAAGTTTCTGATGAAGACGCCAGGAAGTTCATTAGGATTCTGGGAAACTTCGTGAAGTTTCTGATGAAGGCCTCGGGGACCTATGATGGAGGTCTTGGGGAGCCTTACTTCCCATGAATGCGTGAACATTGCGAGGAAGTCTCTTGTCGAGGAGGGAGGCTTGCTATCTCGCGTCTATGAGAGTTTCCTCGTGAACGTGCCTTTCTGTCGAGGAGGGAGGCTCATTACTCTGCGTTGAGAAGAGTTTGTCAAACGAATCCTCACCCCTCTCTTCGCCTTTCACTTGATTTGCAATGGAAGAGTGGATTTGATCTTAGATGTCGAATTCACCGTTTTCCACTGCTTTTCAGGTAAAATGACCGCAAAGATTAAGGGTTTATTGTAATCAATGACGAAGTCGAGTCCGATACTCCCGTCGAGCAAGTTAGGGCTGAGCGAGCTTGCACGCCCGAAGATTGGGCTGGGCAAGAACCGATTGGCATCGCGTTGCGCTTCGCCATCGATGATACGAATGCCTTTGCCACCGTCGAGAACCGCGCTGAGGGATCTTCCCCGATTTGGATGGTTTATAAGCCCAAAGAGAACCATCGTACTTGCTCGAGGTTCAAGGGGATGAGGTTCCCGATGTATGAGTTCGCGTTTTAGGAAGCTGGGCTTCTTCTGCCCTTTAGTGACTTCCAGAAAGGAGTGTTCCAGTGACTGCATCTGACGCCTTCACAGCTCTACCCCTACGCGATTGTATTCATGCGAGCGTTTAAACTTGTGTGCTAACACCTCTGCATTTGGACCATACCTTCCTTTTTCTTTCGTACTTTTCATCTGCAACGAGAATCTTTCCAAGACCGGCATAACTGGGTATCCCTAAAGTAGCCAAGAAATCGTTCCGAGCATACCATAATTTTGTCTGTGCCTTTAAGGACAGATACTTCATCGTGAAACCCGTGTTGCATGCGGTCGTCAACTCTCTGTACGATCTCGTGGTCAAAGAGGAGGACGGGCAGCGAGAGGAGTTATTGGAGTCGAAGTTTCCCCTTGAGTAGGAGGAGGACCACTTCAAGAAGGGCACAAACAACTATATCGTCAAGCCCGGTGATCTGAATGCCAATTATCCACTATCTTACGAAAAGATAGTTGAGTTTGTCTCCACTTTCACTCCCGCCAAATGCGTCAACAAGGACTGGAGTTTTATTCTGGACGTGCGCGAGAAGGTTCTCCGTGAGTCTGATTAACACCAAGGGCCTCCTCGAGTGTGGGTCTAGCAAGGCGGCCTTGAGGTTCCTAGATAGTGGGTGTTTTCTTAGCTGTCTCCTGTTTGTTTTTCTTTGTTGTATTGACTTGTTTCCCCTTTTCTCTGTTTCAGTCCAGATGTCGAACCTCCAGGAGCGCGTGATGAAGCTCACGACAACCAAGGGCGTGAAGAAGGTTGCCAAGGGCAAAGTCGCTTTGGTCCAGCAGATGCTGTAGCCCGACCAACAAGCTGGTGGTTCCTCCTCCCCACAATGTAGCCGGTCTCCTCACTCGTAGGAAACTTCATCCAAAAGGCAGTGTATCGATAACTCTGTACCTGTTGACATTCCTGAGAACGTGCCCGGGGAGAAGTTTGTGTTGCCTTCTTGCTACCTCAATCGTGATTTCTTCTGCAGGGATAACTCCCCGGCTGCGGTCGAGGCTGAGACCAAGGCGATCATGGGGATCGACAGGGCGGCCAGGAGGAAGGCTTTGTAGGAGGACATGACCACTATGATGAGGATCTTTGAAATGACCTTGATCTTCAACGATGAAACCAGCCCGGACTCCGAGCTGAAAAAGCTGTAGGCCGAGAACGTTGCCCTATAGATGGAGAAAAATAAAGGCGGATAATAACCTTCTTGAAGCTCAGACGAGGTACGAGGCCCAGGTGCGTCTCCTCTAGGAGATGAATGCGATGTGAGAAACGCTGAAGGAAGCTGAGGGGGAAAGGAATCGACTCCGGACTAAGGTCACTGAATTGGAGATTACTGCCAAGCCCACTGAGAATGAAACAGACGAGGAGAGGGCTCTCGTCACCTGCGGTGCCCTGGTCGCCCGAATCCGAGAACTCGAGCAGGACTGCTTCAGAGCTCTCGGGTGGGGTTTAGTGGTGCTTTAGAGCAACTCCAAAATCCTAAAGCCCAACTTGTCATCAAGGGGTATGGCCCATACCATCGGGTGGTTGCCCCCGAGATGCCCGACGAAGAAGCTGGTCAGAGCGACGGAGAGCCTCAGCCCGAAGAGGAAGCTGCTGTTTAGTTCTTTTTTGTTGTTTGGCCTACACGCCATTTGAATTGTTGTTTAGTCCGGCCTGCGTGTACTAGTTTGTAATTTGACTTTGCCCCACCTGCGTGCCATAAGTTTTGATTTGTAATGTTCGAACAAGGTACTCTACTCGTCATAATGCATGGTGCCTTATCATTTGGTATGTTCATATTTTGTGCGTGCTGTCATATGTCAAATATATGCTTTCTTTGTATTTGCCTGTTTTTACAAAGTTATTGGGGATTTTTCTTGACGTAGTTGGTCCTCGGCCGTGCGGAGAACTGGCCGAGAGGTCGGAGTTGGGTTCCGACCGTCGACAAAGCTAAGAGCTCGATCGTGAACTTCGCTTTGTGGCGTGAACTTCCCATCGCGAGCTGGGCGTTCTGCCTAATTAGTACGACAACAGTAGATCTCGATTGAGGTGTCCCTGTCGGATCAAGAGTCCGCTCGCACATACAAGAGCAAACTCTTGTCTTTATGTCTCGAGTTGAAGAGTCTCGCTTTTACCCTCGCGCGCCCCTATGGCCGCGACACGAGTAGGTCGCGGGCAATATTTAACTCTAGTACTGTTCGAGCTTTTCAACGTTCCATGGTCAAGCAAGTTCCTCCCCGTGTAGGTTTTCGAGGTCGTAGGCCCTGTTTTCTGTCCTTGCACGGACGTGGTAGGGACCTTC